AACACAACTGACCACACAGAACGCTGGCAGGGATGAAGCAACAGAAACTGTCATCTCCTGTTGGCAGGAAGCAAGAATCAGAAGGCGCTGAGATCCACCAGTTCCACCCTTGAGTGACTTCCCAGCAGATGAGCAGCTTAGTCCCTTACAAAAACTTGTCTGTGAACATGTATCCATCAACACTGCAAAGGATTAAAAGAGGACATATCCTGAAGACACTATGCAGGGCCAATGGGAACGTATCTACAAAAAATATATAGGTATTTACTCAAACCAATATGCTGAGGGAAATAACCCAGATACACACACACACAGATTCAATATTTTAAAAATTCTAAAGAATACCATCTTTCTAAATTCCATATATATGTGTTAGGATACCAATTAATGTATTGGGCCATAAAACTGAGGAGGGGGTTCCCAAGTTTGGGCTGGGAGAGGTGGTTGAAAAGCAGCAGAAGTAGGTATGACAAGGGAGTCCAAGGAGTTTTGAAGCTGACAGATATACTCAGATCCTAACCGAGGAAAAGTTTTCACAGCTCTATTCATCCAAACTTTATCAACTGTAGTATGTGCAATATGTGAGTTTTTGTTGTGTATCACTTACATCTCAAATAAGAGTCTTAAAAACTCATCTTTCAGTTCAGCTATAGAGTTTAGTTCAGTAACACGGGTCTAGGTCAGTTTCTGTATTTTATATCTCTGATCAGGTTCCATCCATGTACTTTCTTATTATGAACATGATCATCATAGCGCTGGTGACATCATGGGAACAAACTGCCCAAGTGAGTGTCATTTAGAGAGTGGATGCCCTTGGTTTCTTTAATCGAGTCTGCCTGATTCATGGACGGACAGGATGATGGTTGAAAGAACCTGAAACTTAGTGTTGGGGCTACATATAAAAGAGCAACCTGATAAAGTGTAGTCAGAGTACAAGACACGTACACCCATGGCGGATTCATATCAACGTATGGCAAAACCAATACAACATTGTAAAGTAAAAAAATAAATGAGTAAAACTGAGAGAAAAAAAAATAAACGCAAAATGAAACTGTAATCACAAATTTGAGAAGGATCCCTGAGTAGGGTAGAAGATGAGAATCTGCTCCTGTTGCAAATATTTCATTCAATTTAAATAAAAATATAGAGAAGCCATGGTAATGATTTTATGCACTGAGTCATGTCCCACACGTGTGACCCCAGGCACTGTAGACCACCAGACCCCTCTGTCCATGGGATTCTCCAGGAAAGAATGCTGCAGTGGGTTGCCACTTCCTTCTCCAGGGGATCGTCCCGACTCAGGGATCAAATCTGCACCCATCTCTCACATTGGCAGGTAGATTCTTTACCTTTCATGCCACCTTGGGAGCCCAAAGAAGCCACAGAATGCGTGTGCATATATGTGTATACACACACACACACACATATATATATACACACACACACAGTTTGTGTGTGTATCATACACAGATACTGTGGAACACTCATGCATATATATATGTTTATACACACACACATATCTATGTGTATCCATAGACAACTACATGGAATTCTTGTGTATTTGTAAATACTTATATGTGTATACAGACACACATATATGTATGTGTATCAAACATGAATCAGTGGAATACTTGTGTATATGTATATATACACACACACACATATATATGTATATAAGTATATATGGATAATATATATAAGTATGTGTATATACTTATATGTGTATATATATATATACACACACATATGTGTGTATGTAAGTGTATATATATATATACACTTATATAGGTCCATACATATATATACACACACATATCTGTATCATACACAATTCAGTGAAATACTTTTGCATATCTACATACATATGTGTGGGTGGGTGTATATATACACACACACATATCTGTGTGTATCACACACAAATCAGTGGAATACTTGTCAACCACAAAAAAGTGAAATGTACAACAGCATGGATGGACTTTGAGGGCATTATGCTAAATGAAATAAGTCAGATGCAGAAAGACAAATACTGTATGATATCACTTATATATGGAATCGAAAAAAATGAAACAAACCTTTGAATATCACAACAAAGGAGCAGACACAGAGAGAACAAACTATCGGTGACGAGTGGGATGATGAAAGTGGTGGGTTAAGACAGGAGGAGTGCAACGAGAGGTGCAAACTACTATATAGAGAAAAAAATAATGTGCAAAAATATACTGTATAACGTAGGGAATAAAAAATCCAATACTTTCATAACATTAGAAAGAGAAATAAAATTATGCATATCTACATGATACCCAAGAACGACAACAAAAACTGTACATCAAATATACTTCAGTTGAAATATTAAAAAAAAAAAAATACCCCTCTGAAGAATGCCCTGATAACTGATTCCTGGTAGAGACACCACATATTTATCTTCTTAAACCAGACAATGTCATCTTTAGTTTTAGAAAATAAGCTTTAAAAGATCTCTTCAACGTGAAAGAAATAACGCAGGAGTTTCATCAGAAGCACAGAATGCCAAAAAGCTCAGCTGCCAAGCAGGATGTCAGAAGCTGATGTCTATGGAACTAAGGTCTTGTGATCAACCACAGTTTGATCAATATGTATTCTGACAAGAGACGTATCCTATAATAAGTGGAACCGACTCACAACTGCTCCAACAACTAGGGTGCCCACAGCTTGCCCAGAAGGAGCAACACGAGAGTCAGAATGAAGATTGTGTTGCCAATTCTTGTGCTTGTCCTGGTTTGTGCTGCCCAGGAAACTCCAGCTGAGATAGACCCCTCAAAGGTACCCAGAATGAGCTGATCTGCTAGAAGGTCTTGCTTGTTTGTGTGTGTGAGTGTGTGTTTGCATGGGTGTGTCTGTGAGGTTGTGTGTGCGTGTGACACAGATTTCGTGTTTATAGGATGACCAGATTGTATACATATCATGGTCCATTAACTACATGAGCTGCTCTTTGTATTTTTGGGTTTTTTTGGTGTTGCTGTTCTTTCTCTTTATGTTCAAAAAAAAGCCTAACATGTGGTCATTCAGAAAGTGATGAACCATCACAGTCTTTATTGGCTTTCTTTTCGCTATTTCAAAAAACTCTGAATTCTGTGCAAAATTCTCTGAACTCTATGCTTTCTGCTCAAATAGGAATCATGAATTCATGTCATGTTATTCAACAAAGTAGGGGGTAGACCTCTTCTGTGTTTAATGAGATTCAATTTACTTCTGCTCTGGGGTAAACGCAGAAGCAAAGATGCTGCTGTATATTGGTGAGGAACCAGAAAAAAGTCCGACTGATGTTTATGGAGACTTTCTTTCTTAGGTTACAGGAGACTGGCGCACCATTTACTTAGCTGCGGATAACAAGGAGAAGATTGTGGAAGGGGGCCCACTGAGGTGTCTCTATCGTCAGATTGAATGTATTAATGGCTGCGAATACCTCTCCCTTACATTTTATATCAAGTAAGCACAATCTGACCCAACTGACAACAAGCAGGCTGTGGACTTCCCACATGGGGTGCAGTGAAAGGTGTGGATCATGGCTGTGGAGCTGAGCGTGTGAACTCTACTCACAGAAGGGTGTCCTCAAGTCCTGGGGCACGGATGGTGAGGAGAGAATTTCTCGTCTGTTTTTCAGGCTTGACGGGACATGCCAGTTGTTCCATGAAGAGGCAAAGAGGCAAAAAGGAGATGTTTACATCATCGAATGTGAGTATCTGAGCTTTTCCAGTGGGTTGTCGCATGAAACATGTTCAGATGGATAGTCCTGGTTCCATCCAAGACTAGATGTCTGAACGGGTGGCCTACTCCCTCTACTCATTACCAAGGCAACCTTGGAAAAGCCAGTTGATTTTTCAGGAAGCAATACTGTCCCACAACATCAGGATGAAGTCCACGGGCATAATGTTGCCAGTGATGGTCCCTGAGAAGAAGCCGCAGAATGTTGACTACTTGTGTCCCTTGGGCATGAGGGAGTGCACGAAACGACCTAAGAATATAATCACTCTCTCCTACATTGTTCTACCTTTTATCTTACCTACATGATCAAATTTGCCTTAAGGAATTCTTTAAATATTTAGAGTTCTTTATTAGCAAGTTCGGTAAGTATAACATGATTAATTGAAAGCCCCCAATGAGAAGACTTACGAGCAAAAATAAGAGCAAAAATTTCAAACTGATTTATACATAATTTGAATGGGACTTTAGCATAGACTTCTATCTCTGTAGTTTAAGATAAGAAATAAGTCTCAAATATGAATAGAAATACAAAATTTGAAATGGGCATTAATATGGACATCTACCTTAGTAGTTGAAAATAAAAGGAAATAATTCTCAAATATGAATATGAATTCTGTAAGATTATATTGCAATCATATGTCCCTATGTTTCATTTTCAAGGAAAAAAAATGTACAGCAAAGCACTGTAATCTTGGTCTGATGCATTTATATTAATTTCAAATGTGGACATGCAGTGACAGGATCTAACCTGCAATAATTTCAGAGTATATATGTCCAACATTTTGCAGTAGAGTAATTTGTACCTGTTTAATTACCTCTTGTACTAGGAAATAAATCTGGATGATGTATTAACTTTCATTTTAACATTATTCATGTAAATTTTTAGAATTCCCTTCTACCCATGACTGTACTTGTAAACTGGGTCACAGAATTCAACAGACAGCTCTTGTGAGCTGGTAGGAGATGGTTGAGGTTCAACACCCAGGATGGTTGCAATGAGAAGCTTTGTTATCATTTACAGACTCCTCAGTTTAGAAGACTGGATGTCTTAATTATCTTGAGGTGAAAGCAGTGTGTAGAAGGCTTTCCTAGTTCACTAGCTGTCATAACTGGTTCTAACAACACACCACTACAAATGTTAATGAGATAAAGCTCACAATTAGAGGGAAAACAGACAATAGCGTGTGAAGCATAAGACATGTTCATTGGAAAGGAAAGCAAATAATCATAGTGAAATTTGAATTCTTTTTCTCTCACAGTTGCGGGTACAAATGTTTTGCGACTGATTCATGCATCAGACCACATGCTGGTAATTTACATTGAAAATTATGATGGAGAGAAGATCACAAGAATAACTAAAGGCGTCGGTATGTACTGTAGCTTATCCAATACAAAGGAGATGTGTTCATATGATCAATATTTTTATAGTAAGGAGAGAGGAAAGCACATACCTTATATTAGGGCTTCCCTGCTGGCTCAGATGGTAATGAATCTGCCTGCAATGAGGGAGACCTGGGTTCGATCCCTGGGCTGGGAATATCGCCTGGAGGAGGACATGGCAACCTACTCCAATATTCTTGCCTGGAAAATCCCCATGGACAAGGAGCCTGGCAGGCTAGAAAATTCCAAATCATTTCCGCCCCCCATTCATTTCATGAGGGTTCATGAAGACCCCAGGGATGGAATTCCAGGATGCAGACAAAGTGGACAGGAAGAGTTAGTGCTGGGAGGAATTCTGAGTCTCAGACCCACCATGACCTTCTCCAATGTACCACAAACGATTGCATCTCAGTGGGGCAGGCTTAAGGTCACATGCAAGTGATCTGTAGTTTACTCACTAGTTGTGAGAACTGAAACATGATAACATGTTAATTATGTGGACTCTACCCCCCATGGACCCATCTGAAAACCTGTGTGCACACTCGGGCATGACTGTAGAAAAATATCTGGTGAGCAGAGTTTAGGTGATGGTGGAGGGCAATGGTTTTGGTGAGACTTAGCAATCACTACAGCTACGAGCCGGGTGATTCTCTATAACCCATAAAAGATTCTGACACACACCTCTTCTGCCTTTTTTGCTATGAAATCCAGCCAAAGGAGACAGTTACACTCAAGAAGAATTTCAAAAGTATCAGGAACTGAACAGTGAAAGGGGGATCCCGAATGAAAATATAGAAAATGGCATCGAAACAGGTAAAGCCCCCGGAAGACAGCAGGTATCCAAAGTGAAAACACACCACGAGGACATTCAAGTCGGATTTCCTATTGACAGAGACAACTTTGATAAAAGCTGTTTTGAAATAATCCTTTGAAATAGAGGCATGTCAATGGTAATTTCTCCCCTCATTCATTCTCTCTCACAGACAACTGTCCTGCATAAGAAAAGAGAACATCAGTTTGAGTGAGTAGAAATGTGACACAAACACACAGCTTTTTTTCACTAGGCTCACACTTTTTTTTTGGCGGGGGGTTGTACTGCCTTAAGAATGGTTTTCATATGTAACGGAATATTATCTGGCCATGAAAATGAATGGAATAATGCCATTTCCAGCAACGTGGATGGACCTGGAGATGATCTTAGTGAGTGAAGTGAGTCAGAGAAAGAAAGGCAAATATCATATGCTATCAATTCCATGTGGGATGTAAAATATGATGCAAATGAACCATTTATAACACAGAAATAGAATCTCATACGCGGACAACATTAACGGTTACCAAGAGGAAGTAGGCAAGGGATCAACTAGGAATTTGAACAGATGCACAGTAAAATATATAAAATGAACAATAAAGACCTGCTGGAGAGCACAGAGGACTATCCTCAATGTCTTGCAGTGATTCGTAAGGACAAGAATGTAAAATGGTATCCATTCCCCTACATTTACTGAGGGCTTTCCAGGTGACTCAGAGGTCAAGAATCTGCCTGCCAATGCAGCAGCCACAGGGGAGTCAGGTTCTATCCCCGGCAGGGGAAGATCCCCGTGGAGTAGGAAATGGTACCCCACACCAGTATTCTTGCCTGGAAAATCCAAAAGACAGAGGAGTCTGGCACGCTATCGTCAACTGGACACAAAGGGGAGGACATGACTTAGCGGCTAAATAACAACAACAAATGTATAAATAAATCATGTTGCTTTATGGCTGAAAGTAACACAGCATTGCAAACCAAGGACTTTTCAATTAAAATTAATTAGAAAAGAAAAAAAAAAAAAGAATAGGAAAACAAGGCAGCCCACTTTGCCAGGCAGCAATGGCTCGGGCTTCCTTCGTATTTGGATTAACTATCTAAACATTGACAGCGGTCTAGACGCCACAGTGAGATGCTCTGAGGACAGAGGAGGAGGCTGGGTGAAGCCCCGAGCTGTGAGATATGATGAGCCCCGGTGAATCCCCGGTGAATCCCACTGTGAATGAACGGACCTTGCAGCCACAACACATTCATGATGATACACGAGACGACAGAAGATGTAAGCCGCACAGGTGACACAGGATATAGTCTCCTCCATCTCAGACCTCTGAATATGTCACTTAGTGACCCTCAGCATAAGAGCTGATTCAGGGATGCTCACATCTGCTTTCACCAGGTGATAGTTCTATGCAATCCCATAGGGCCACACTCATAGAGGGACTTCTGTGAAAAGGGTCTTGTAGGATAATTTCTCCACTGCTTCCAACAGCAACTGCTTCTCTTTTATCTTTCATGCTCTGGCCAATATCACATTAATCCTAATCAGCTCAACAACATCTTACTTTTTTTTTTTTCATGTTTAAAGGAAAAACGAAATACGCATACGAGCCGCATCGAACTACTAATGTGTCCCAATCATCCAGATGAAGATATGAGACCTTTTCCTGGAAATCATCATTTCTTCTCTCCCAGGATATCAAGAATCTGAACCCATGGCTTTCCACCTATGAATGTCCTCTGCTCTTGCTGATGTTACTGGATTCCTAAACTGATCAATAAATTGATTAAAGAATGTATGTGTGGTGAACAAAGGTGCCATGTTTGCAAATGCACAAAACATGTAATTTCAACTATGCAGCAAATCTAGTGTACAAGGAAAGGAGAGAAAACTCTATTTAGGATGCATGGTGTGAATCATACAAGTGTCTTTGCGAGAAGAGTGACTATAACACGGATGGTAGTTTTATATGGTAATATAAGATCCTGACCAGATGTCACATGAGAGATGGGATTGCTTAGTCAGACAACTAGAAACAGAATCTGAGTTGTTCAAAGTGGCACTTGAAAACAGCACAACTATGGGGTTAAGCAGCATGCATCTGATGTGTGCCTGCAGGGGTGGGAAGGATTTTGCAGAATGCAGTCTTACATGAACTACCAGAGGGTGCGGTGGTAAAAAAAAAAAAAAAAAATACACGTACAAATGCAAGAGACGCCTGAGACACAGGTTAGATGCCTAGGTCAAGAAGATGCCCTAGAGGAGGTAATGGCATTAATCTTGCCTGGAGAATCCCATGGACAGAGGAGCCTGGCAGGCTACAGTCCATGGGGTCGGGGTCGCAAGATCAGATACGATTTATCAACTGAGTACACACACACATACATACAACAAAAGTGAAGAGTGTTTACTAAAGAAAGCACTGATGATGTTTACAAAACATGGGGTCTGTGGTGTCCGACTGGGGGGGATGGTGTGCTACTCTGCAGCTCAAAGCCCAGAAGCAGAGGCCTTGCTGCAGGTGCAGAATTACCCAAAAGCTCTGCATACAAGGTCTTCATCAGAGATTTTTCAAAGCAATAGTCACTGATGAGTGCCAACTGATTTGAAAAATGGGGCATCTTTGGCATCACATAGGTCATGCCACTCGAGCAGACAAGAGACCAGGAAAAATGTGTTAATGGGGATGGGAAAGACTAGGAAGTCCCAGACCACTCAGGAGACCTCTGGTAGAGTCCTGAGGACGTGGAAGGCTGGGTGCACCTGAAATGCTGCAGGATGACAGGAAAGACAGAATAGGGCACTGATCACGTACCCCTGCCAGGGCTCATTGTAAGCTGCACGCACCTTGAATGCGTGTTGCGGACAGACACAGCTCTCCAAGGTCAAGGTATTTGTGTCCTTTCACTCCAGTTGTTGCCAGAATACAGAACAAGAGTGGTTGTCAACTAAGCTATACCCCCTTCACAGATTACTGCCTTGTGTGGTGAAGGGGCTGCCATAACTAAGCAAAGCTATGAGCCATTTCGTGCAGGGCCACCCAAGACAGATGGGTCACAGTGAAGAGTTTTGACTAAACATGAGATCCACTGTGGGACAGGAGTGGTAAACCACTCGAGTATTCTTGCTCTGAGAGCCCCATGAACTTTATAAAGTGGCAAACAGATATGACACTGAACATTGCCCCCCAAGGTGGGAAGGTGTCCGATATTGCTACTGGGAAGGTGTGAAGGACAGCTGCTAATAGGCCCGGAAAGAATGAAGCTATGCTCACGTAGGTCTCACCAAAGCCAGCCAGCCTAAAACAAGAATGAAAACTAAGAGACAGGAAGAAACAACAGCAGTGGAGCTTCTCTAGGCATCCAGTGGTTCAGAATCCACCTGCCAATGCAGGGGACGCAGACTGAATTCCTCATCCGGGAAGATCGCACATGCTGTGTGACAACCAAGTCCATGCACCTCATCACCCGTGCTTGTGCTAAAGAGACCGAACAAAGAACCATCACCGTGAGAAGCCCTCCAACTGCAAGTAAGAGAAAAGCAGAACACAGCACTGAGACCCCGTGTGTGTGTTTCTAAATTAAAAAAAAAAAAAATAAGAGCTGAGAACAGGTCATAAGAAGAGTGACCACTGAGACATACCACTAAAAGCGTTTTTAAAATGTTAAGAGAAAGAGTTGCCGTTTGAATACGAAAACAACATTAGGAACCGGGCAGGAAATATGAACCATTAGAGAATTTTGTCTGAAAACCTATTTTCAAGGGTATTTATCCAGTTGAAACATATCAAATCCTGAGGAAGAGGGACCATCTCTCATGAGGGGATGAAGTTTAAACAGTTTAAACGTAAACGTTTAAACACTATATACGAATGTGTAGAATTTTGCAGGGATTTAAGGAGCAGGAAGGTAGAGTCAAAGAAAAAATGTCGCTGGTGATTTACATATGAAACAAGTTATCTAACACATCTGTCTCCTGACATCATAGTTACCCCGTGTGTGTGTGTGTGTGTGTGTGTGTGTGTGTGTGTGTGTGTGTGTGAGAGAGAGAGAGAGAGAGAGAGAGAAAGAGAGAGAGAAACGCTTAAAGTTCTGCTCTAATTGCCTGACAGGTGTATGTGCACACATTTATCACAATCTCTGAAATGAAAACAATTGACCACACAGAGTCCTGGCAAGGATGGAGCAATGGAAAGTCTCATCTCCTGTTGACAGGGATCGAAAATCAGAGTTACTGAGGCCCAGCAGTTCAGCCCCTACCCAGGAGATAAGATGGCTCACTTCCTTACTAAATCTTGTCTATGAACATGCATTCATCAACACTGGAATTGATAAATGTGGGACATTTCCTGATGATACTATGCAGGGGCAATGGGAAAGGAGTCTACAAAAATATATAGCTGTTTATTGAAACGAATATGCTGAGGGAAAGAAATCGGTAATGCACACATGGGGAGTGGAATAAGAGGTACAAAGTACTATGCATAAAGTAAATAATATATAAAGATTATTTGAAAACTAAACATTGGAAAACATAGGGAATAAAAAAGCCAATATTTCTTTAACTCCAATGGTAGAAATAAAATTATGAATACCTATATGGTACACCTGTAACAAAAAATATTGTACATCAACTATACTGCAATTTCAATATTAAAAAAAAAATATTGACCTCTCAAGAATTTCCTCATAACTGATTCCTGGTAGAGGCACCACATATTTATCTTCTTAAACCGAAGGTGCCGTCATTGGTTTTAGAAAATAAGCTTAAACAGACCTCTTCTATGTGGAAGAAATAACACAAGGGTTGTATAAGAAGCACAGAATGCCAAAATGCTCTGCTGCCAACCAGGATGTCAGGAGATTACATTTAGGTCACCATGATCTGGTGACTAACCACTGTTTGATCAACAGATATTCCGCCAAGAGACGTATCTTATAAAAAAGTGTAACCAATTCACATTCTCTCCAACAACTGGGGCGCCCCCAGCTTGTCTAGAAGAAGGACGACAAGAGTCACAAGATGCAGGTTCTGTTGCTGAGTCTTGTCCTTGTCCTGGTTTGTGCCGCCCAGGAAACGCCAGCTGAGATGGACCCCTCAAAGGTACCCAGAATGAGCTGATCTGCTAGAAGGTGTTGCTTATTATTGTGTGTGTGTGTGTGTGCCTGTGTGTGTCAAGATGTTCTGTGTGCACATGACAGAGATATTCTGATTTATATGTATGACCAGATGGTACACATACCATGGTCCACGTATCTACACGAACGTAACACAACACTCGGTCTACCTGCTCTTCGTATTTTTCTTCTATCTTGTATGTCTGTAGGTAAAACAAAGCAAAACAAAAAGGCAAACATGCCAACATTCATTTTATTAGTATAGCCTCCAACTAATAAAAATAAATGGAAACAAAAAAAGAAAGTTATGAACTGTCATGGTCTTTACTGGTGTTGTTTCAGCCGTTACAAAAAACTCTGAATTCTATGCTTTCTGCTCCAACAGAAATCGTGATCTCAGGTCATGTTAATCAGCAACGTAGGACATGGAACTCCTTTTTGTGGCAGTGAGCCAGTTCAGTCACTCGGTTGTGTCCGACTCTTTGTGACCCCATGGACTGCAGCATACCAGGCCTCCCTGTCCATCACCAGCTCCTGGAGCTTACTCAAACTCATTTACATTGAGTCAGTGATGCCATCCAACCATCTCATCCTCTGTCATCCCCTTTTCCTCCTGCCTTCAACCTTTCCCAGCATCAGGGTCTTTTCTAGTGAGTCAGTTCTTAGCATCACGTGGCCGAAGCACTGGAGTTTCAGCTTCGGCATAGGTTCATCCAATGAATATTTAGGACTTATCTCCTTTAGGGTGGACTGGTTGGATCTCCTTGCAGCCCAAGGGACTCTCAAGAGTCCTCTCCAACACCACAGTTCAAAAGCATCCATTTTTCTGTGCTTAGCTTTCTTTATACTTCAACTCTGACATCCATACATGACCACTGGAAAAACCATAGCTTTGACTAGTGGCACCTCTGTTGGCAAAGAAATGTCTCTGCTTCTTAATACACTGTCTAGGCTGGTCATAACTTTCCTTCCAGGGAGCAAACATTTTTTATTACTCTTCTTTGCTTAATAAGATTCAATTCACTTCTCTTCTGTGGTAAATGCAGAACCAAGATAGTGCCGTGTATTGGTGACATTTATGAGATTGACTGACGTTTATGGAGACCTTCCTTGTTAGGTACAGGAGAGTGGCGCAGCATTTACGCAGCTGCAGATAACAAGGAGAAAATTGTGGAAGGGGGACCACGGAGGGGTTGCTGTTGTCAGATTGAATGTATCAATGACGGCGAATACCTCTCCACTACATTTTATGCCAAGGAAGCACAATCCTCCTCCACTGAGAACAAGACGTCTGCTGGCTTCTGACATGGGGTCCGGGCTCTCATGTGCAGTGAGGGGTGTGAGTCAGGGCTATGAAGCTGAGTGTGTGAACTCTATTCCCAGAAGGGTGTCCTCAAGCCCTGGGGAGTGAACGGTGGGAAGGAGTGCCTTGCCTCTTTGGTCTTCAGGGATGGCGGGAGATGCCAGTCATTCACAGAGGTGATAAAGAGACAAGAAGATGCTTACATCTCAGAATGTGAGTATTTGAGTTTTTCAGATGGGTTGTCTTCCAGAAAACCATGGGATATGTTCAGATGGATAGTCTTGGTTCCATTCAACAGAACTAGATGTCTGGATGGGTGGACCGTTTCCTCTACTCATTACCAGTGCAACCCTGAAAAAGCCACCTCATTTTTCAGCAAGCAGTTCTGGCCCACAACACCAGGATGAGGTCCAAGGGTCGAATGTGGCCATTCATGGTCTCTGAGGAAAATCCCCAGAACACTAACTCCTTGTGTTCTTCGGGCATGGAAAAGTATGTAGACTTACTTAGGATTGTAATAACTCCCTCAATTTTTTTTTTTTTATTTGACCTACACGATCAAATTTGCAATAACTAAAGAAGTTCTTTAAATATTAAAAGTTCTTCATTAGCATGTCCAGTAAGTAGAACATGATTAACTTAAAGCCCAAAAAGATGAGAACAGCAAAAATAACAGCCCAAAAGTTTAAACCAATTTTTACATAATTGAAAGGGACTTTAACATAGATTTCTATCTCTATAGCTTAAAATAAGGATAAATAATTCTCAAATATAAATACCAACACATAATTTAAAAGGGGCATTAACAGAGATTCTATCTCTGTAGTTGAAAAATAACAGAAAATAATTCTCAAATATTAATATCAGTACTGTAATATAATAAGTGATCAAATATCCATATATTTCACTTTCATGGAAAGAGTGTAGAAAGGAGGATTCTAATCTCTGTCTGATGAATCTTTTCTAATTTCAACTATGGACACACAGTCACAGAATCTAATCTGCAAGCACTGCAGAGTATGTATGTCCAACAATTTGCAATAGACTAACCTCTTTTATTAGCTCTTGTACCAGGAAATAACTCTGTATTGGGCATTAAACTTATTTTATTATGATTCATTCAAATTATTAGAATTCCTTTCTAACCATGACTGCACTTCCATATTGGGTCACAAAACTCCTGAAAATTTAACAGTCAGCTCTTGTGAGCTGGTATGAGACGGCTGAGGTTCAACACCTGCGAAAGCTGCAGTGAGAAACTCTGCCTCGCCCACAGACTGCTCAGTCTAGAAGACTGGAAGTCTTAATTCTCTTCAGGAGAAGGGGGTGTGGAGAAAGCTTTCCTAGTTCACTAGCTGTCTTAACTGGTTCTAACAACACACCACTAGAAATGTCAATAAGATACAACTCACCATCTGAGGGAAGGCTGATGATAACATGTGAGGAAAAAGACAGACTCAAGTGAAAAGAAAAGAAGTTAATCATATTGAGGCTTGATTTTTTTCTTTTTCTGTCACAGTCTCAAGTGCAAATGTTTTTCAAGTGATTCACGTATCAGATAACATGCTGGTAACTTATATTGAAAATGATGATGGAGAGAAGATCACAAAAATTACTGAAGGTGTTGGTACGTACTGTAGTTTATCCAATACAAAGTAGATGAGTTCATATGATTACTATTTTTATAGCAATGTGAGAAGCACACAGATACCTTATATTATGAATTTGATGCTGCTCAGACAGGAAGGAACCCACCTGCAATGTAGGACGCTTGGATTCTATCCCTGGGTCAAGAAATCCCCGGAGGAGAGCATGGGAATACACTGCAGTATTCCTGCCTGGAGAATCCCATGGCAGATAAGCCTGGCAGATAAGCATCCACGGGAGCAGAAAGAGTCAGATAGGACGGAGCAACTAACCACAGCACCTCATATGAAGAACCCTGGAACAGACGTGTGTTCACATGGAGAATTCAGACTTCATGTGACATGAATCAAGGATATAGAATGTCTGTCTGCTAGAAAAATGAGGAAATGTATCTACTGAGAATTCCATCAGGTGGCATTTTTAAACATGAGGTACACTTGTCCCAGATTTCAAATGAAATATTCCAGGAAACTCCATGAGTTTCTCGCCAAGTAACACAACAGAGTTGCCAGGTCCTGAGGCCAAAGTGAACCAAGGTTTAAATCTGAGTTTAGCAGACTCAGGTCCTGGCCACGGCTGCATTCATCTCTACAACAAACGCTTTCTTCTTCGTCACAATATTTAAAATACTGCCTGAACCTGAACACAAAGCTCTGCAAGCATCTCTCGATGATACTGAATCCTGCAGAGGAAGTGTGGCCAGGCATGTCAATCATTCTGCCATCCGCCCAATCCCCTGGGTTCTCTGACATCCCTTTATCCTTTCTGGTATTATATGGGCATTGGAGGTGGATGGCTGTTCTGTCTCGTATTTGAGGATGACAAAGCCTGAACGAAACCCTGAGTAGTGTGTGTGTGATGTTGTTACCAAAAGTGGGTTCCTGCTGCCCGCCTTTCAAAAGCCAACTAAGAGCCCAGTTTCCTAGGAAGCAATGTCTGCTTTCATTCATATGCCGATGACAAGTGGGGAGAGTGGGCTTCTGTCCAAAGGCTGACTGCCCCACCCCACAATTGGCAACCAGTGGGGCAAGGGCTTTTATAGACAGAGGGAGGGGGCTCCTTGCAAAAACAGCAGTCAGGCTCGACAGCCATTTTGAAATCAGTCATGAGTGGTTGACCAGCGTTATCTGGATGTAGTCAGGACAGTTAATCTTCAGTTCCAGGGTCGCTATCTTTCCGTGCCCTGGACGTCAATTCTCTAAATGGTGGCAGCTTCTGTCATGGCTGCAGTCTGGTCATCATACAGTAAACTTGTCCACTGGGTGGGGGGTCTCAGTGTGCATAAAACTGCTCACAGGATATGACCCAGAATAATGTCTATTGCCCTTGGGGAGGAACTGCAGGCCCCTATCTTTGCTTCATGACTGCATTACTATTATTTCATCTCCTCTGTCTGTTTTGCTTTGCTATCTGACATTCTCCATTCTCCAATTCAACTTACTCTTTCACTGAAATCTTTCACAGACAAAAGGCAGGCTGAAAATACCAGGGGCGGGGCAAGGAACATAAGGTCCTGCACTGTCTCACACTGTCTCAACGGGGTCAGTGTGCTTCTGAAAATTCCAGATCATTCCCCACCCATTCATTTCACGAGGGCTCATGAAAACCCCAGGGATGGAATTCTAGGATGTAGACAAAGTGAACAGGAGGAGTTATAGAGTTGGGAGGAATTCTGAGTCTCAGACTTGCCATGAACTTCTTCAGTGTACCAAGAAGGGTTGCATCTCACGGAGGCATGCTTAAACTCAGTGAGTTTAATGATGTGTAGCTCACTCAGTACTTGTGAGAACAGGAATGTGGTAACTTGTTAGCTATGTGGACTCTACCCCATGGAAAAATCTGAAGACCTATGTGCACACTCAGGCAGGTCTGTGGAAAACTACCTGAAGAGCAGGGTTTAGGTGATGGTGGAGGGCAGTGGTGTTGGTGAGTCTTACTAGACACTACCGGTATCAGCTAGGTGACACGCTATAGAGGATTCTAATGCTAAACTCTTCTGCCCTGTTTGCTGTGAAATCCAGGCAGAGGAGACAGCAGAAGAACTTCAGAAGTATCAGGAACTGAACAGTGAAAGGGGGATTCCAAATGAAATATTGAAAATGTCATCGAAACAGGTAAAGCCCCAGAGGACAACAGGTATCCGAAATGAAAACACATCACAAGGACATTAATATCAAATTTCCCTTTCACAGAGACATCTGTTATAAAAGCTGCTTTGAAATAACCCCTTGAAATAGAGGCATGTCAATGGTCATCTTTCCCCTTATTCATTCTCTTTCACAGACAATTGTTCTCCATAAGAACAGAGAACATCAGTTGGGTGAGTAGACAAGTGACAGATGACAAGGCTGAGCTTCTTTTTTGGTAGGTTAACACTTTGGGGAAGGGTTTTTTTTAACTGCTTTAAGAATGGGACACATACAGAATGTCATATTACCCAGTCATGAAAAAGAATGAAATAATGCCATTTGCAGCAACATGAATGGACCTAGAGATGACCTTACTGAGAGAAGTCAGTCAGAAAGAGAAAGGCAAATATATGCTAAAATTTCCATGTGGAGTCTAAAGTGTGATGCAAATGAACCATTCATAAAACAGAAACAGACTCTCAAACATAGACAAAATTAATGGTCACCAAAGGTGAAGCAGGCAAAGGGTAAATTAGGATGACCAGATACACACTAAAATATATAAAATCAACCAAAAAGGATCCACTGGATAGCACAGAGAACTCTACTCAAGGTCTTGTCATAACTTAGAAGAAGAATCCATAAAAAGGTATACATTTACCTACATAGATATAAATGAGGGCTTCCAAGGTGACTCGGAGGTTATGAGTCTGCCTTCCCATGCAGGGAAGACAGGAGAGGAGGATTCTATCCCCGGGTCAGGAAGATCCCTTGGAGTAGGAAATGGAAACCCCATCCAGTATTCCTGCCTGGAAAATCCAATGAACAGAAGAGTCTGGCAAGATATAGTCCACAGGACACAAAGTTTGGGACACACGTTAGTGACTCGGCAACAGCAAATGTATAAATGAATCACCTTCCTCTGTACCTGAAACTAATAAAACATTGCACATCAACTACACGTCAATAAAAATCAATTTTAAAGAACAATGGGATGACAAACCATTTCACATTGCCACATGTCAAAAGCTCAGACTTCCTTAAGTCTTTGGATTCAATATCTAAAGACTGACATGGTCTAGACTCCACAGAAAGATGCTTTGAGGACAAAGGAGGAGACTGTGTGAAGCCCTGAGCTGTGAGTTATGATGATCGCTAGGGAATCCCACTGTGAACGAAGGACCTTGCAGCCACAGCCCATTCATGATGATAAATGAGACTTCAGAAGAGACACAGATGTACAGAACAGACTTTTGGACTCTGTGGGAGAAGGAGAGGGTGGGATGTTTCGAAAGAACAGCATGTATATTATCTATAGTGAAACAGATCACCAGCCTAGGTGGGATGCATGAGACAAGTGCTCGGGCCTGGTGCACTGGGAAGACCCAGAGGGATCGGGTGGAGAGGGAGGTGGGAGGGGGGATCAGGATGGGGAATGCATGTAACTCCATGGCTGATTCATGTCAATGTATGACAAAACCCACTGCAATGTTGTAAAGTAATTAGCCTCCAACTAATAAAAATAAATGAAAAAAAAAAAAGAGAGAGAGACTTCAGAAGATGTAAGTGGCACGTTTCACATAGATTATAATCTCCTACATTTCAGAGCTGTGAATACGTACCTTAGTACCTGTCAACATAAGACCAGATACCGGACTGCTCACAACTAATTTCACCAGGTGGTAACTCCATGCAACCCCACAGGGGCAAGCACACACAGATGAACTTCAGTGAAATAAATCTTGTAGGAAAATTTCTCCACTGCTTCCATCAAAAACTGCTTTTCTAATTTCTCCTCTGGGAAATGTCATGTTAATCCTAGTCAGCCCAACAACGCTTTACTCTCCTTTCAGGCTTAAACAAAAGAATGATGTAAGAATGCAAGCAGCATTGAAGCAGTAATGTGTCCCAATCACATGTATGAAGATAACACACCTTTTCCTTGAAATCATCATCCCTTCTCTCCCAGGAAATCACGACCCAGAACCCATGGTTTTCCAACTATGACTGTCCTCTGTTCTTCCTGATGTTACTGGATTCCTAAACTGATCAATAAATTCATTAATGCATATATGTGTAGTGAAGAAAGCTTCTACAGGCAAGTGCACAAAACAGGTCAATTCAGCTATGAAGAAAATTGAGTGTACAAAGGAGGAGGACATAATGCTGTTCAGGGCGCATGGTGTCAATCCAGCAAGTGTGTTCATGAGAAGAGAGAATAAACCACAGATGCTAGTTGCATATGGTGACATAATGTTCCTGTCAGATGTCATGGGAGAGGTGGAATTGGTTCGTCAGACAACCTCAGAGAGAATCCGAGGTGTCCAGTGTAACACCTGAGAACAACTCAAGTGTGGGGTTAAGCAGCGTTCACCTGCTGCAGGAGACACAAGAATGAACCTTTGATCCCCGGGCTGAGAAGACGCCACAGAGGGGGAAACAGAAACCCTCTGCAGGATTCCTGCCTGGTGAACCCCAGAGACACAGGGGCCTGTTGGGCGATAGCCCATGGGGTCGCAAGAGTCAGACACAATTTATCAACTGAGCTCACCCACACACACAACGAGACTGAGCAGCATTCACCAAAGAAGGAGACCTGATGGTGTTCACAAAGCACGGCGTCTGTGGTGTCCGACCAGGGGCGGCCGCTCTGCAGCTCAGACCCAGGAAGCAGAGACGTGGGTGCTGATGCAATGCAGGTGCAGAGTTACCTAAAGCTCTGCAGAGAAGTTCCTCATCAGACAGTTTCCAAAGTAATAGTCACTGACTGGTGCTAACTGATGGGAAGAAAGGAGCATCATGGGTACCAACTAGATCATGCACCTGGACGAGACAAGACACCAGGTAAAAT